GATGACAGGTAAATTATGCTCAGTCACACAGCTAGTGAGTTCCTGAGCCAAAGACCCAAAGAAAAGCCCTTCCCACTCCAGCAGTGTTTCTCAAGCTCTGGTGTGCACTGGAAACCCCTGGAGGCATGAGGCTTATTAAAATGCAGATGCCCTGGCCTCAGCCCCCAACCCCAGATGTTCATTAGAAGTAGGTCTGGGGGTCCAGGAGCCTGCACTTCAAACAAACTGACCTAGAGGTCGCCACTGTGCTCCCCACTTTTGTGTCTTTATCCCCTGCCCACTTTGCTGAGATGCTGTCAAGGATAGACCATGTAATGAAGCCAAAGGCTTTAAGATCATCACTGGGCCGGGCGCGGTGGTTCAAACCTGTAGCCCCAGCAGTTTAGGAGGCTGAGGCAAAAGGATTGCCTGAGCCCAGGGGTTCAAGATCAGTCTGGACAACTTGATGAGATCTTGTCTCTACAATAAATCAGAAAATTAGCCGGGCATGGTGGTGCACACCTGCAGTTACGGCTACTTGGAAGGCTGAGGCGGGAGGATCACCTGAGCCCAGCAGGTCGCGGGTTCGGTGGCCATGAGCATGCCACTGCACTCCAGCCTGGGTGACAGAGTGAGACTACAACTAAAAAAAAATCATTAAGAGGATGTCTGCTTCCTGGTCTCCTCCCAGACCTTCCCACTCTCTCCCTCTCTGCCCCAGCTAGTCACCTGAGTGAATTCTGAGGTCTCTGGCTTCCAAGTCTGGAGCCCTCACTACTTAAAGATCATCAGTTTGGGTGTGGTGGCTCACATCTACAATCCCAGCATCTCAGAAGGCCGAGACGGGAGGACTGCTTGAGTCCAGGAGTTCGACACCAGCCTTGGTAATACAGCAAGACCTTGACTCTACAAAAAAATCAAAAAACTAGCCAGGCATGGTGGCACGTGCCTGTAGTCCCTGCTACTCGGGAGCCTAAGGCAGAAGGAGTGCCTGAGCCCAGAAGGTCAAGGCTGCAGTGGACTGTGATCGTGCCACGGCACTTCAGTCTAGGCAACAGAGTAAGACCCCCAACTCAAAAGAGGTTTTGTAAAAGATCATCATTATCCTCTTGGCAACACACTATCCCAAACTGCCTAGAACCCAAATGTGGAATCTTGGTCTGGAAGGAGAAAGCAGGTTGCTGTCACCCAGGAGAATCAAAGTCTGGGGAAGGGGGCAGTGTCATTTTCCCCTTCTAGGTCTATCAGAAAGAACCGGGTATGGGGCTGGACATCCAAGTTCAAGCTCATCTCAGCTACTAACTACATGACCTTGTGAAAGCTTCTTCACTTCTTTGTATCTTCTTTGTTTCTTGTTGGGTAGGTTGTGGGGTTGTCAGGTAAAACACAGGATGCCTGACTGATATCGAATTTCAGAAAAACAACTAATATTTTAGTATGAGTATGTCCCAAATATTGCATGGGACATCCTCATACTAAAATATGACTCATCATTTACCAGAAATTCAATATTAATAGGCATTCTGGGGTTTTTTGGGGTTTTTTTGCTTGTTTGTTTTGGGTTTTGGTCTTTGTTTTGAACTGAGATCTCACTCTCCCCAGGCTGGAGTGCAGTGGCATGATCACGGCTCACTACAGCCTCAATCTCCTGGGTTCAGATGATCCTTCCACCTCAGCCTCTCAAGTGGCTGGGACTATAGACACACACCACCATGCTTGGCTAATTTTTTATTTTCTTTGTAGAGACAAGGTCCTGCTATGTTCCCAAGACTGGTCTCAAGCTCCCAGGTTCAAGTGATCCTCTTGCCGTAGCCTCTCAAATTGTTGAGATTACAGGCGTTAGCCACCATGCCCGGCCTGTTTGAGTTTTTGCTAACTGGCTGTTGGGCATTCTGGCATCCCCTGACCTTCTTCCCTCCAGCAGGGCAATTCTTCCCGTCCTCAGACCCAGGCTCCTCCACCCCATTCCCAGACCCTGGAGGAGCCTGGATGGAGGACACCCCTGGGCCTTGACGGCATTCCCTGCCTCCCCTCCACCGGGTGCTCTGCGGCTGAGTGCTCCCATCAGTGCTTTGGCCACAGGGGAGGCTCACCTGGCAGACAACACATTTTTGCAACTGTCACAGCCAGTCAAGGTCACAGGGAGAAAGCTCAGGGTTCCATCCCGCTTCTCCGGGGGAGGATGGGGCGCAGTTGGCAAGGGAAAAGCAACGGGGACAGGGTCCTCTTTGCTCCTTCCTTTGAATTTCTGCCCCTGGAAGAGGCAGAACGCCTGCCTAGAAAGCCCTGAAGTTCATATCTGATGAAGCCTGACTTTCTTTGGCAGGAAGTAAGTGGTCAGCATGGCAGGAGGGCTGGGAGCCACAAGGCCCTGATACCTCTCTCCAGCTCTGTTTTTAACTCTCTGTGTGATCTTGGGCAAGTTTCTCATGTCATCACAGAATGATAACAGCACCCAGTATTTATTGTGGGCCAGGTACTCTTCTTAGTACTTTATAAATATACCCTTTTAATCCTCCCAACAAGCCTATGAGGTAGATACCATATCATCCTCGTTTCACAGATGAGGAAACCAGGGAACAAAAAGGTCACACAATCAGTAAGGAGAAGAGGCAGGACTGGAAGGCAGCAGCTTGGTGCCAGGGGCTGGGCTCTAAGCCACTTGGCCCTGCTGTCTCTGTGAAAAGTAGAAGCAGCAACAGAAATGCAGGAGGAAGAAGGAATGGGGCGATTAACACCTATTGAGCACTTACTGTACACTAAGCAGGACTGTGCCCTTGACAGAGTTGATGTCATTTAAATCTCACAGCAAGCTTGGTGGAGGATGCTGTTATAGTCTGAATTTGGAGGTAGGGAAACTGAGGCTCAGAGAGGTGAGGGACTTGCCCAGGATCAGAAACCTGAGTTCAGATCTAAATGTCGGTCTCTCCCTTCAAGATCTGTGCTAGTTTCTCCCCACCACCCACTCTGTCTCTGGTTCACAGTTTGGGGAATACTCTCTGGCCACACTGCAAGGACAGCACCCTGTGAGGTGCCCTCAAGCTGCCCTCATCCTCTTGCTTCTGGATGAGACCGCTCCTGCCCTGTCCCCAGGCCCTGGACATAGGGGGAAGGTGAAACTCAAAAATGTGAAGTGGTCAGGTACAGTGACTCATGCCTGTAATCCCAGGACTTTGGGAGGCAGAGGTGGGAGGACTGCTTGAACCCAGGAGTTCAAGACCACCTAGGCAACATAGTAAGACATTGTCTCTACCAAAACTTTAAAAATTATCCAGGTGTGAAAGTGTGCATCTGTATTCCCAGCTACTCAGGAGGCTAAGGCAGAAGGATCACCTGAGCCCAGGAGACTGAGGTTGCAGTGAGCCGTGATCATGCCACTGCACTCCAGCCTGGGCCACAGAGTGAGACCCTGACTCAAAAAAAAAAAAAAAAGAAAGAAAGAAAAGTAAAGTGACCTACCCAGAGACCCTCCAGATTTTAAGCCAGACTCAAACCCATGTGTTCACACTCCAAATCCAAAGCTATGCAGCACTCTCAACAGTCAACTCAAGTCTAGAGAGGAGGAAACTGAAGCCCAGACCGGATAAGTAGCCTATTCAAGGTCACAGCCACCATTCTGTGGGCAGAATGGAGACTGAAACCCACAGCTCCTGACTTCAAACACTTTGCCCTAAGCTGGAAGACAAATGAAGTCAATTATACCAACCCAATCCCCACCCCCAGAAAGCAAAGGCGGGAGCCAAGCATAAAGCTGGGGGACTCTGCATCTCGCAGGCTGGACCTTTTTAGGAATCGCTCACATGACAGAGCCAACCTGGGCTGCAAGTGTTGCTCAGAGGCCTGTATCTGTGGAGGAGTGAGCACCCGATGTGTGGATGTGTGCTGATGGCCACGTGGAATGAAGATGAGAACACAAGAACTCAGCACACAGATGTGCAGCCTTCCTGAATTCTCAGCAAATGGGGGGGAAATGATATACTAAAGCGAAATCGTCATGCACACTGCCTTTTATAATGTGTGCCTCGCAGCTTTGGTTCCAGTCCTGCAGAAACCATGGGGCAAGATGCGAGACGAGGGGTCCGCTCTGAGAGGTCACTGCCGGCACCAACGCTCACGGGCTCATACGGAGTGCTAGAATCCGTAGACAGGGAGAACCCCACCTGGCTCCTGTCTGGGCGCTCATCCCTGCGGATGCTGGGGTTCCCTCCTTCTCAGTTCTTCCTCTGCGTCTTTCCTGTGGGCCTCCCCAGGGGCCTTGAAGTCCCCATGCTCTCTTGTTCCTGTCTGCCAAGCAGGTACCTAAGTCCACACCACCGTGGAAGAAGTGAGCCAGGAAGGCAGAGGGGCCACTGGCCCACCACATTCTCGCTCAGCTTTATCACATCTGGCTGAAAAGCCACAGAACTATAAATCATAACTGCATCATTGGCTCTTAGTGGGCTACCATTATTCCTCATCAGAAATATTCCGCATCCCTTTAGACAGAAGAGCATACTGGAGAAGGAGGGATCAACTTGGGCTGTGGAGACTGCAGGTGGGCCCAGAGCACCCGCTGGCTGGCTCTCACCAGCCAGGCCACCCACAATGGGGCTGTTTTGCACACAGCAAGGTGCCTTGTGCTCAGCAGGCATGACCAACCCGCACCCACCAGTCTCAGGGCCCAATGCCCAGGGAGCCGATGTCACTCCCCACGACGGGGAGGTCCCTAACTTGGGAAAGTTGAGTTGTTGGAGAAACAGAGAAGGCCGGCCTGGCCTCGAGGCCCAGATTCCAAGGAATTCCAGAGGTGTCCCTCCCCGCCCACTTCCCCCACACAGACTCAGGGAAGTCAGACTGGGAACCCTCCAGGGTTCCCTGGAGAGACTCCCCCCTAGGACAGCTGCTCGGAGAACCCAAGCCGCCTCCTCCAGGCTCTGCCCGAGGCCCCTTGCCCAGAGGCTGGTCGATGCTCCCTGCACCCAGACTCGGGCCTGGGCAGCCTCTCCCTGCTGCGCCCTCCCGCTACCGGCCACCTGGCTCACCTTTGGGCAGTTTGGACGCGTTCTCCTGGATCCAGGAGAAGAGGTGGGCGAAGTCGCAGTCACAGAGCCAGGGATTCCCGTCGAGGCGCAGGGAGCGCAGCGCGGGCAGAGCGGCCAGGGCGGCCACGTTGAGGCTACGCAGGTTGTTGTCGTTGAGCTCCAGCACCTGCAGCGACTCCAGGCTCTCGAAGGCCGCCTCGTGCACGCCCGCCAGGTTGTTGTTGGCCAGGCTCAGCCTGACCAGCCTCCCGGCCGAGCGGAAGGCGCCGGCGCCCAGGTGGGTCAGGTTGTTGTAGCTGAGGTCGAGGAACGCGAGCTTGGCCGAGCCACTGAACGTGCCCTCCTCCAGCGAGCGCAGCGAGTTGTTCCTGAAGTCCAAGTACACCAGGTCGCCGTAGAAGATGAAGAAGTCCTCGGGGATCCGCTGGATGCGGTTGCCGGCCACCAGCAGCTTGCGCACGTCCAGGGGGAAGGGGTCCGGCACGCTGGGCAGCCCGCGGTCTCGGCAGT